GTAAATTTACTAACCAAAAATAAAAGGAATCATATTCACGAGTTTGAATAGACTCAGACCACAGACAGTTTTAATTTATTAAGAAAATTACACACCCGTAAATTACTATAATTTTGTTCTCATAGCAATCGTATATAAAAATTATTTATATAGTTTATAAAAAGAAATAAGCGCTACCATACGTTGAAAGCTAAATTTACTTCCCACGAATAGAAAAATTTAAATAAACATTTATGCTCACAAAAAACATCGAAAAAATTTTATTAATATTCAATCAAACTTTGTTTATAATTAACAAATTTTTATTTGTAGACAAATTACATGGCAGTTTTATGAAATAGTAATAAATTTTATAAATATTAAATTTGTCTCTCGAGTGTAAGTATTAAATCTTGAGGGCCTTTATTTCTTCGAATTGGTCCTTTCTCACTTGCAAACTGTAATCGTTCAAGCATTCAAATATCCATGAAAGGTAGCGAAGAGAAGGACAGTTTTAATAATCGGCCGTGTTCGGTAGATGGTCACCAACAATGTGAAGGAGTGGCAAAAAAAGTACAGAAAATATATATTTTTAACTTCCCGCTAAAAATCTCAGATTTTCAAAAATCGGGAAGTTATTGTTTTCACCCCGTTTTACAAAAATCGAGTTTTCATCAGATCTCGACGTTTGAAGGTCACAGGAAGCTTCCCTGACTATTTTTACGATGATGTCCGTACGACGGTGTGTGTGTGTGTGTTTTTTTTATAGAGGAGGTAAAATACATTTACGTATGCCAGGGCTTGGTGTTGTTGCCAGGACTAGGTGTTGGTGCCTGGGTATGTCGGACTCGGAAGTCAATATTTGCAACAATACCGACTAAACATCCTCCTCTCTCCTTTCCCTATAGATGTTACAGGGATGACTGGAACGGGACCGCGTGTCTGTGTGTGTGTGTGTGTAAACCTCTTGGAACTTTTGAACGACTTGACCGATTTCATCGCGGTTGGTGTCATTCGAAAGGGCTTCACTAAACTTAGATTTCCTGAAAATTTGAACCGATTCGGACCGGTAGATTTCGAGAAAATGCAAAAAAAGTGAAAAAAAAAGTTGTTTTTTTTTATATTTTTTTTTAATATCTCCGAATTGGCTGAACCGATCGGTCTCAAAAACTAATCAGCTCTTAACCTTGAAAACCTCCATCGATCGCTACCAAAAACGTTACAATCGGTTGATGCGTTCGTGAGATATCGTTGTCGAAAAAAATCGAAAAAAGTGTTTTTTTTGTAATAACTTCGAAATTCATGGCTCGATCGATTTAAACTTGGAAATTTTTCATGGAGCTTTAAAAACTGCGTCGATTGCCGCCAACCGCGTGAAAATCGGTTCATTCATTCAAAAGTTATTGCCGTTTGAAAATTCAAAAAATTGTGTCTTTAAACTGCTATTAGAGTTTTGAGCTCGAAGAGCTCAAATTGACACAAAAATTTAGGGTGAACCGTTTTTCTAATTTTTTTAATAATAATAACAATAATAATAAAAATAAATGTTTTCTTGATTTACGTATTTGTTCACATCGACACAACATTAACGATTTTGAGAAGTAATTTCAGGTGACAATTCACAAGCAACATCAGTAGATGCACATTGCATGTCGATGGTATGATGTTGAGTTTGACAAGACAGAGTAGCTGGGGCTATGCTGTAGAGAGTAAAAATACAAAAATAATAATATAATATAATATATATAAATAAATAAAACAAGAGCCAAAAGCAAGTCGAAACCAACGGACAGCTTCCTTCATCTTCGTAAATGTTTGCGTGAGCCAATTCTTATTACCAAGTAATTTGTTGCACGCAAAGTGACTACTACTAGTATTTTTTTATTGGATGCATATGATACCGCAACCGCCGTCAATTATTAACCATTCTGAATTTATTTTAAAATAAATACATATAGGAAATAGCGGAATCGCACATATTGCGTGATTAGTCACAAATATATACACTTGTGCATATATACTATCTAAATTTTAGCATATAACACATCTTGGGATGCATGATATTAATTTTGATTCGTATAAACAATACTTATTCATTATATGTTAATTCAGAAGCGCGATTCTGTGTTTCGTTGTATAAAATATTATTACTCCTATGTATATATTTGTAACTGACCAGACAAGATTACTTGGATTCTCGCTCTTCACTTTCAATAAGACTCGCATTTATTATTTATTCTTGTACATGTGGAATGTAAAAGATGTATTATGTGAATTGGAAATGGCATGAAATGAAATTGGGATAAAGTACTCAATACCAAGTCACGTAAGTAAAATTAGTGTACTTAAATATTTTAAATTTCAATCAGTAAATTAATGCAAATAAGTTCAACTTAATTAATTTTAAAACTTCAATCTCTCAACAACCAAAATTGCAGTGCAAAAGTTATTATCCAATGATTGGTGTCAATGAGAAGTCAAGTTGACTACAAATCCAGACTTTTCAAATACTGCTGTTAGATTGATAACAATTTTTGCTAACGCATTTTGGTGTTAGTGTGAGGCACAGATTGGTGGCAAACTGACTACAAAAGTTGAAAAGCCAAAATTTGCTGTCAGCCAACATACAACTAGCCGTCAGTATTTGACATTTTAGCTCAACCTAACTTACTCATGTTTCATTAATAAAACAGGAAATTCTACACAGAAAAAAAAAGTAAATAATTTTGAAAAACTTATTCATCTTCTTGATTTGAGTAGAAAAATTCTTAAGCTAAGAATCTTTTCTTAGTTTAAGTAGATTTTAATTGATTAAAAAATTGTTTGTCTTTATTCAAAACAATCAAACTCTTCAAAATTATTTTCTTGGTTCAGGAATTTTTCTCTTGATCCGTTAATTTTTTTTTTTTTTCAGTGTACATTTTCTCTCAATCTGTAAATAATTGGCAAATAAATGTTGTTTTCCAACTTTGGCAGTTAGTCTGTCACCAATTTGCTCCTCAGATTGACACTAAACTTCGTCAAAAGATAAATGTTACTTTGCTACCAAGAGGTTACTGGGGATGTTAATTATTTTTCATTTAAAAAATATCTTCATTTTTGAATTTGTATTACATGAGTAAGGTACATGAGAATAGCTTAAAAATACTTGTTTCTATCCGTAGATTCTAACAAATGTTTGTATTATTAAAATATATTTTTGTATTTTTAGATTATTTGGAATTGGATCTGTGGGAAAAGTTTAAAAAACCACATGGGGATGTTAATGTTCTTGTACATCAGATTTAAATAATCGGTCTACCGTTTTGCGTATGAGAACTCTAAACTACCTCCCGCCATCTATCGGACATTGTGAAAATATTTAGTTGATGCTTTTACAAGAATTAAACAGTGACTTTTTTTATGTACATAAATAGTGTATAATACTAAGAATTTCCGTTTGGTTTAAAAAAAATTATAAATTGACAATTATTGCTTATGGTCAGTAAATATTGGAATTTATTATTTAACTGTAAATGATTAAAATTGTAATTGTAGATAAAAAAAAAAAAACTGTTAGATATATAAGTTATTATTTGGAATAATTCTTCCAGCGTAAATTTACAACAGTTATTGGTAGTAAAATGAAAATCAGCATTTATTATTATCAACAGTTAATTAATAAAGGCGGCATGATTCAAGCTCACCACGAAATCAGCAGGAGACATTGATAATCTTTGAAGCCTCTGACAAGCGTAAGATGGTAGTGCGGAGCGTAAAAGAAACCGTGTTCGGAGCCGTGAGGAAGGGCGAAAATAATGACGGTATACAAGAAAGACTCGCGGTAAATACTTGCAAAGTCATAGTAACCCATTATCTTAACCGCACGTAGGTTTATTAAGAACACAGCGGGGGTGGTCCATCTCATTCATATCATCGATACTCGAACAGAACTGAAATCTCTGCCAAAATAAAATATAAAATAATCGACTCTAAAAAAATTGAACTGAATCAGTCAGACCCGTTAATCCTTTAACGATCATCGCCGATATTTTTTTGATTTATTTTTTTTTCTCACTTTCTTATCAACAAAATTTACGTCCTTTTTTTTAATCGAATAAATCACGCGATTTATTTTTAAATTATGCGTTATCACTTTAATTTAAAAAATGTCCCGTTATTAATGATCGATAAATGACATGTGAAGTGTAAATTCAATAATGATTCGGATATTTCGAATTAATAATTAATCATAGGGATCGAGATGAGTTAAATAAAATAATTAGGATGTTGTATGATAATGATTGGGTCCGACTCCGGAAATAAGTGTTTCCTGGACGTTTGGGTTGTTGACGGAATCGACATGTAATGCTTGTAGCGTTTATCGATACTTCCGCCGGTACTTTTCCTTAAAAAAATGTATATAATTTACTCATTAGTTTATTTTTATTAAAAAATTATTGACATTTTTTTTTATTTAACCGATACGTGAGAACGGTAGTATTTTGATTGAAAAATACCCTAATGGAGATATTGTACAGCATTAGTAAAAATTTGATAAAAAAATTAAATATTAAAAAAATAACAAAAGTATTGAAGAAATTTTGATTATAAAATATACAATATTTGACCTTTCAATTAATCTTATTTAATTAAAATTGAAATTTAAGTTTTTTTTTTAATCAAAATGAAGGTTTTTCGGGAGATAATTTTTTGAGGGTAAATCGGGTGTTTATTTTTGATTTCCTACGAAGAAGAGGGCTGATATTGTTTATTTGTTTTTTCGTGCATTTCGCACATGAAAATTCAGAAGCTCATCTAGTGTCGGTGACTGGAATGTTTATATTTTTATGATTGTCTGTTCAAAAATCTATTTCTCTGTATTATTATTTTATAACATTTATAGGAAATATTGCTGTAAAAAAATTATTCAAATTTTCATAGAAAAAAAATTCCTCTGTCATAGGGAGTGAAGAGTTATTTCCATCACTAAATGACAATTATAAGTAAATATAAATTTACTTGATAAAAAATCATTTATTTCATATTATTTGTTCTGCAAATTCGTTTCCTACTGAGAGATAGAAAAATTTCTGTCTAAAAAAAGATTTCTTGGTTCAAGAATTTATTAATATAAAAATTTTAAGTTTATTAATTTTTTGTCAAAATAATATTTATCAGCTTTTACTATCGCAAATATTTCCTATCGTAATAAATAATAAACGTACACTGATAAAAAAATTGACTTGACTCAAGAGCCAAACTCTTGAACCAAGAATTCCATGTTGACGAAAATGATTTTCTTGAGTCAAGAGAATAAATTCTTGACTCGAGAAAATTTTCTTAAATAAATCAAGAATAATTTCTTAGCTCAAGAATTTATTCTCTTGACTCATCAAGAATATCATTTTTGTCAACATGGAATTCTTGGTTCAAGAGTTTGGCTCTTGAGTCAAGTCAATTTTTTTATCAGTGTACGAATTAGCTTCAAGAAAATTGTGTTTGTAAAATTAATAGATAAAAATTTGTAAAATGGAAAGTTTAATGGGATAATGAAAAATACTTAGCATAAAACATGGTATTAATATTATAATTACTCCGATAAATATTTAATTAATTATCATTCTGAATTTTTAATTAATACACACAAACTTTCTCCATATACACAGGTACACTAATTGAATTGAGCATCTGCGAAATGAAGCGGATTAATTAATTAAACTGGACTTTTGAATACCCGAGTACAAATATAGATACGGTATAGTAGGTAACGGAAAGGAAAGAAAATAAAAGGATAAATGGTGTAAACTATTGATAGAATTATTGATAAATATTAAATATAATATAAATGAATCGTAAATATTGGAATGGTGATCACTTCATAAGAGGTCGCTTAGTTGATCATGCATGTACCCGTCACTCCTATAAACATGCTAATGGCGGTTCGTGATAATAAGTTAGTGGTTCGATAGCTTTTTCCTTTGTAGAGAATTAAGGTGGCGTGTGAATATACATACAAGCCACTCTGAAAAGAAGGAATACATATACAAAAGAAAGATAAAATGAAATACAAATAAAAGGAAAAATAAAAAATAACAACAAAAAGTTTGTCGGAGGAGTGAGTAAGAAAGAGTAGGGCTGGATTGAGCGTGTTTTACACATCGTTGCATCCAAGGAAGGTAAGAGAAGAAACGCGACAAGTGAGAAGAACGTACCGTATAAACTGAGACTGAGAGGTGAGAAGAAAAAGGGTGCGAGGACGAAGGCATGCGGAGAAGCAAAAGAGACGGGTTAGTAGCTCTTGTAACGTTATCGACCCTGTCGCTGTACATCACTTCGACGCCATTCTAGTCGAACTGTTTCCACCAGCCAACTCAGTGCACCATATAAAAGCTGCTCAAACACTATTATTTCACACGAAATCAATTCTCGCTTCTTATGTCTCTATATCTGTATCCACGAGGTAGTTGTCCCCATTAGTGACCATGTTCTTTTCACTAATCATCATTTCTTTATTTTTTATTTCTTTAACTAATTTTATTAATCATTCCTATTTTAAGTAAACATATCATAAATTTTAGGTTTTTAATTCTACGAATTCTTTAATATTTTTAAAAAACTAATTAATTTTTTTACTATAAATCACAAACTTTAGAATATTCTGCAAATCTGCATACTTAAATGAGATTGTAATTTACTTTTGAAAAATATAAAATTATTTTTATTATTGCTAAAGTGACAGTACTCTAATATATGAAAAGACAGAAACAAAGTAACAAAAAAAAAAAAAAAAAAAAAAACAAAATTTACAGATATTGTGTCATCAAAAATTGATTTACTGAGAAAAATAATTAAAAAATATTGCCGTAAATCAATTAATTGGTTTATACTCTGAAAAAATAAATCTATAACTGTATTTGTACTACTACAAAAATTGACTGTTTACAAAAGAATTTACCATCGTAATTTCATCAAAAGATTGTTATATTGAATTTATTTAGAATAAATACTCCAAAAAATTGAAAGATTAAAAATATTATTTTTCTATTCATTTTTAAGTTTTTAATTTGAGCTATATATAGCTTAGATGCATAGATATAATTATAAATAAATTTGACTTTTTTTTTTTTAATTTTACACATGTAAAAAGGAACTCTTCCGTTCAAAATTGATGATAAAAATTACTTTTAAACAATTTTCAAAAGTGTAAAGTATGCAAGCTGTAACCTGTTACGTACTGCATGAGTTTATTACTTGAGTTCTATTGATCATTAATTCTGTGACAATTAATTAAACACGATTAAACATTTACTGAACACAGAAAGATTTTTGATTTTTGAATGCGGAATTGAAAAAAATTGTCGCGGTTTATTTAACTATCAACTAACATATATATTTTGTAATTAGAAAAAACTTAAATAACAACAAAAAAGTTTTTTTTTTTGTTCAAGATAATTATGATTACCGTTTTTTCAAATCAACTGTTTTTTTTCTTCCAAATACGGTAATATAGTATTTTAGAATGGAATTTTTTTTTTAATTATTAAAAAAACTAAAAAAATTATAAATTTTTTAAATTAGTAAAAAGATAAAATGCTGTTTAAAAAAAATTTATAATTTACAAGTTTTAATATTCTTAAATTAAAAGAAAATTTTTTAATGATATTATTAAATAAAAGTAAACAAAAAAACTAATTTTTTCACAGTAGAAATGTTTAAATTAAAAAGAAATTAATTTTACAAATTTCTTTTAATTACATTGAATGAAAAAAATGCAAATTAAAATAAGTAATTGATGCTATAAATTTCTAAAACAATTCAAAATCACAAGCTGATAATTTTATCAGTAACTGAAGAAAATAAAATAAATATCAATCTTTTTTAAAAAAAAAAAAATTTAAAGCAAAAATAAAAGGTTGATGTTTAATGAAGTCATCTAAAAGCGTAATTTATTTTATTTGAAATTTATCAGAAACAAAGTGCGTAAACTGAAACTAAAGATCGCCATAAAATTAAGGCAATTTGGATTATTAGTTGGTTGACTCGTGGAAATGTGAATCTCGTTTTCATGAAGGACAAAATAAAGTGACAAAAATAATATAATCGAGTAGTATAAAATGTATAAATATAGAAACACCCATACACCATACATACTAAAATGAATATGTATAAATAAAAAAGGAAAAGTTAGAGTTGTCAAGTCCAGTCAAAAGAGAGATAAATAAGAGGAAGAGTGTGATAGTCACGCTATCTCATGACTTTTTTCCGGTTAATTGATCGTTGTGGTCCGGTCGGAGGAACATATACATATTCGTGGCAATCAGTTCCTTCGAATGTACAATCAAAAGGATTAAATCGTTAAAAAGGTCGATGGTCAGTGGATGAGCCAATTAGCCGGCTCCGAATGCTCAGGTATCTCCATTGACCAACGAATTGAGGGTTTTTATTGCGAGAAGATGCTGCCATATTCGATGTGGTCGTTATTTGTTTACTCGGCTTCTGTAGATCTAAGAGAAGAGGAGAGAAATAATAAGAAGCTGAAGCTGAAGCTGGCAGTGGTATACAGGAAAGTCACTACTGCATCGACCTAGAGACCAACACTGAAATAAGAAACAAGACTTGGGATAGTCCTATCTTATCCGCTGAAAAGTTTATAGCCCGGTCGAGTCTAATTGGGTGAGAAATCATCGGGCACTCCTTTTCTCCCTCCGTCAGTACGTTACTAATTCACAATCCGCGGGTTATTGCTATCCACCACTGACTACACCGAACACCGAACACCAAACACCGATAGGAATTTATGCAACACACTAAAAAATACCCGATTTTTAAATTAATTTTAAGATTTTTTCCATTCCCAAATAACAACTACTATTTCCGATCAAATTTTTTGAGTAATAAATTACTTACTGTCTCCGATCGAATCATCTTTAACAACCGGATAGACTTTATAAATCAGATAAGCGTTAAAATCTTTAGTTAATTATTTTCAGTGTTTTTGCTCATTAATATTTTTAATTGGTTAACAAAAATTTTTTTGTCCAACGATACGATTTTTACTCGATTAAATAAATCAATAAAAATTTTTTTAAGGACTTAAATTATTTTCTCACCTGTGTTATTTATATGCGAATCTCTGTTCGAGAGTCGAATGTTTAGATTAGACCAACAAGTTCAGCCAAACCGGCGACAAAAAAACATTTAGCATGTTTTATGAGACACTAGTTTGAGTTATTATTCAGGTAATTTTTTTCGTGTTGAAACTTTTTCAGGACTTTGATAAGACTTTCACGGTTTGATTCCAACATATAGACCGGTTTTCGACAAACATTCGACAACATTATACTTGTCATAAATGGACTGGATTAAGTGGTTTATGGGATAATTAAGCTAATGTATCTTATTTAAAAGTTTCGTAATCTAAATAAATTTTTTTATACAAAAAAAATATTCCAAAAAAATAATTGTAAATATTTTTAATGATAGAATTTTTTTTTTTTTCAAGAAATTTTTTTACTAAAAAATTTTATACTAAGAATTTTCTTGATTTTTGACAATATTTATAAAATTAAAATTCTAGCCTAATAACACTTATCCTGTAAAATAAAATTTCAGGTGAAATAAAAAAAAAGAAAAACTGCAAAAATAAAAAAACATTAACCAATATTTTTATTGCATTTTCGATCGTTATACGATAACCATAATTTATTGTAATTATCAAACAAGTAATTAGATTTAACAATTTAAAAATTCATTGTTTATTATGCCCCGGACTTTTATCACATAAATTTATCACGGCGATCATTTTAACTAAACATTTATTTCAATATTAATCCTAATATTAAACCAAAATACACTAATGTAATCTAATAAGAAAATATTTTAAAAAATTTATTGTGACTGAACACGTAACATCATTTGAAATGTTTCCCTTTCCCTTCATGATCAATTTGAACATAATAAATAAATTTAATACAATAATTATAATAATAATAAAAATTGAAAATAAATTTAACTACATATCTTATTCAGTCAAATATTTGAGTAGAAATTATTATTGTACAAATGAATTTAAATAAATTAAAAATATATATTTTTTCATATATTTGATATAAAAAACAAACACATATTTATATTTATATTTATCTAAATATATACAAGATCACTTAAATAAATTAAAAATATAAAAAAAAAAATTATTGTAATAAAAAGTGGGCATAAGCATTAACGACCATGCTTCGTAAGTTCGAGAGGCTGCTGGTCGATCCACTGATCTTTCCAAACAATTGGTGAGGACGATGTGAATTCTTGATCAGAGTCCTGCACATCGATCTCTTCATCTTCATCTTCGTTCGAGGACTTGAGGTCAACCGACTCGGAACCAGTTTCGTGGTGCCTAGACCTTGATTCTATTTTGGAGTTAGAGTTACGCGAAGGCAAATCTTCGCCGACGAGCTGACTGATCATCCTGAAGGCGCTGGGCTTCCGGACGGAATGAGGATTGATAATGTCGCCACGATCTCCGATTATAGGCGAGGATGTTGTCACAACAGCGTGAAATGCACTGTTCCTGCCACCCATCCCAGCGATTGAAGTTGTTGTGTGGGAGGAATCCAATCCGGGTCCAGAGACCGCGTGCGAACCTGGAGATCCTGATGTTGGTGTTTGCGATACCGACGGAGGCTGGGTTGGCGGCGGTGGTGAACGTTTCAGGAGGTTCATTCGCTGATGACGTCGCCATTTTGCCCGTCTGTTAGAAAACCAAACCTAAGAGTCACGAGTTAAGTCGTTAGAAAGCTCGTGACTTACCAATTAGAAAAGACAGTTGAATTCATTTCTGTGAATGAGGATAGTTGTGTCCCTTCTAAGGGAAGTGGATTTGCTTACCTGAACTCGTGCTTCTGATAAAGATGTCTTCGAGGCCAATCTCTCTCGGGTTGACACGCATGGATAATGCGATCTCTCAAATTCCTTCTCCAGTTCCTCGAGCTGCTCCGGGCTGAAGGTTGTTCGGTTCCGCCGGAATTTTGGTTGCTCTGAACCGTCCAAGCTTCCGTCATCGTCATTATCTGTGACAGTCATACATACAAAACGATATTTAGTGATGCTACTAAGTATTTATTAATTACTATACTAATAAAAAAAATTAACTCGATTCAAAAGAAAAAACTTGGAATCAAAAATATCATTTTTAAGTATAAAAATTCTTTAATTCCTAGATTCCTACACTGATAAAAAAATTGACTTGACTCTAAAGCCAAACTCTTGAACCAAGAATTCCATTTTGAAGAAAAATATTTTCTTAGACCAAGAATAATTTCTTAGCTCAAGAATTTATTCTCTTGATTCAAGAATATCATTTTCTTCAAAATGGTATTCTTGGTTCAAGAGTTTGGCACTTGAGTCAAGTCAATTTTTTTATCAGTGTAGGATTCAAGATGATTAAACTTTTCAAAATTAAATTCTTGGTTCACGATTTTTTTCTCTTGAATCAAATTAATTTTTTTATTTGTGTAGCACAGTGTGACTGCTGACAATTGTCAATGATAAATAAAAAGAACTTTGGCTTAATAATTTTTAAATATAATATACATCATTTTTGATGCGCTGAATTCGAAATTTTATAAAATTATGCAAAAACTGCTAAGTTAATTATCTAACCTTTATATTTTTAAATTACATTTTTTGCAAAGTCTTAATTGTACAAATCACTTTAAACTTTTTCACGTAAGTTTTAAGGATATTAATAACTAATATAAATATGAAAGATTTGAAGTTCATTATTTTTTTCATTAAAATTGTGAGTTTTGAAGTACGACTGTACACAAAAAAAAATACTTATTTTTTTATTTCACCCTTTAGAACGCAAAACCGTTTGAAGTTGTGCTTTAAAATTTTTTTTTACATCAAATGAATTTTAATTATTTTTTTAAGCTGAATCGGGCATAAATTTAATGTATAGATGAAAACCTACATGCTTCATATGTTGTTGTTAATCGATATTAAATATAAAAATCAGCCTTTTAACATACAGTTTATATAGTTAATGTTAACTAAAAACATTTATTTTATAAAATCTCACCAAACTTACTGAAGATAAGAAAACGAAAAACTTTTATTTATATAAATCACTTTTTGTAGATTATTTTAAAATTAAAATAAAATATTCTGCCGCAAAGGTTAGTATTATATTAATATTTTAATAAAAGACCTTTTTATTCACAAAATAACCACAAGTAAAAGTGAGCTAGCGATAGTCCGCAAAGAAGGCAGCACTATACAAAAAAAAATTAATTGAATTAAGTAAATAACTCTGAAGAACTTCATCTTCTTGATTTGAGTAGAAAAATTTTTAAGGTAAGAAGTTTTTCTTGGTTTAAGTAAATTTTACTTGATTCAAGAATTTTTCTCTGATGATTCAAGTTAGTTTTTTTTAGCGAATAAAAAGGAAAGCAACAGCACAATTAACATATCATGTCCGATCCACCTTAAATAATTTTTTTATGCCATAAAAAAAATTTAATTTTCGAGCCATTGTCATTACTGACAATTTTTATTATTTTTCTGACTAAATGAAACCCGACTATTTGAACAAAAACAGCGGAATATCTAATAATTTATGTTATGAAGGTGATTCAAATTCATTATTTAACAACGTTGAACTAAAGATATGAATAACAACAGCAGCACTAAAGAGAATTATATTGTATGTTCAGTGTAGTTAAAAAGCAACAGTTAGGTAAACAAAATAAAAATTATGTTGAGCTACGTTCAAATTTAGTGAGTGGAAACTCTAGCCAAGTAAATATTAGTGAAGATAACACGCATTGTTGTACTATGAATTATCACGTGTCCTAATTTTGGTTAACTCTTCCACAGTTTACATACTGACGATGGAATTCGAGGTTGGTAATGTTTGATCAGATATTATTATTAATATAAGTATTTGTTGCATTATTGAATGCCAATGAATACATTTGTAAATGGTTTATCACAATTTGGTAGCAGTAAATAATCATGCCAACTTCCGGTATTACTCACATTTAAATGTAATCTATTGTCAACTAACAGCTGCACAAATGGTAACCCGTTGTACAATGCCCAATTCAAGTGAGGTGCATTGTGCCTTGCATGGACACGAATTTAAAATATTCGCCGTTACAAGTTAAAACCTTAATTTAATTCAGAACAATAAACCACTCTAATACATTACAATCAACGATGTAGTTTTTATGCTGAAATTGAGGTAATTAATTTATAAATTTATTTAAAATACGGAAAAAAGCACAATAGATTTTAGCACAAAAGTCTTAATTCTTTTGGCGATACTAAAATAATACTACAACTGTTTTTTCAAACGGTACTCTTCAGCATTTACCGACTAATAATATAAGTGCACACCTCAAACCGGAGCTCTCTTATTGCTCAGCCATTTTGTACTCCAAGTACTCACATTATTTTTCAATATAAATATTAGACAGTAATTATGAAATATGTAAAAAATCTTAAATTAGTAAACGGATCTTGAATAAATTATTCTAACCTTTTATTTTCACGGTATTTCTTCGTATTAAAGCTTATTGTAATTCGTTTCGTTTTACGAGACTATACTCGCAATCCATTATATTATTCAATATAAAAGATCGATTCCTAAATGACTCAGTACATAAGCAATCTTTACACGCCACAATAAATAATTATCTTTTTAAAGATATACAAGTATAATTACATATAACAGACGTACATGTACGCTGATGATTTGCATAATCATCGTATTCGTGATAAAAAAAAATTCATCATCCATACAAATACGTTTCGTTATAAAACTAGTACTGTTTTGTAATTATATTTTTTTTTTTTTGCGGGTACAAAATTTTGCGGGTTACTTCGGTAATCTTGGGATTAAAATCTACGAACATATATCGCATGTAATGCACTGATAGAAGGATTTGTTTGTATTTAATAAATCAATTTATTAAAATCTTTTTCAGATATTTTTTTGGGTGGAAAAAATATTTTTTTATTATTAACAATATTCGTTAGTATTAACTAAATCAATTTTTTATGAGAACAAAATTTTTTGTAACTATTAAGAAGCTTTGTGTATTGAAAAAGTATTTATTTCCACCAAATAAGATTTGTTAATAGTTAACAAATATTTTGTTGGTGGTCGGTGTTGGCAGATGGCTCTACTTAACGCGTAGTTGTACATAAGTATATATATATATATATATATATATATACTTCTAATTGTAATTTATCTTTTTATTATTTGTATCTTTTAATTTCAATTTTTTTTTACTTCATTAAATATCTAATTCTCTGTAATTTTTATAATTAAAATAAAACATTAAAACACCTTTTTGAGGAATTTTTTAAATATTCATAATCCAGTGTGTATTAAATACTAATAAATAATTTATTAAATAGTAATAAATATTTGTTAAGGACCTATCCTCTAATAAATCATTTATTAAATATTAACAAATCTTTTTAAATACAAAAAAATCCTTCTATCAGTGTGGAGGCTATGAAAAAATAAATTAGTTTTTCCGAGAAATTTGTAACTTTTTCATAAAAATATTATTTTAGGATGGTGTATTTAATATCTGCTAATTTTAGCTATGCCGAATAGTTAGCAACATTTTTTGTTAATTTTTGGTGTAAGTTTTTTTTTGAATTACTGTAATGTCAATATTAAACAGTTGATTTAAGTTTTATAGAACTTTATAATATGAAAAATAATAATATTTACAATGTATGCTTTTTTTTAATTTCCAAATTTTGTTTTTGAATAAAGAATCCCTTTTTTAACTCACGAAACCTCATTTTCAAGAATAATTCTAGAATCTGTATACTACCCCTGTCATTTTTCAGAACTCTCAACACATAAAATCAATTAATATAGTCTCAATGTAAAATTTAGCTACTAAAATTTAGCTGTAGGGATACTTTACCAGTCTACAAAAATTAATTACGTCAAAAATTTCCCGTAAAATTTATTTAACAAAAAATTCTACATTGATAAAAAAATTCAAAAGCTAAAATTTTGAATCAAAAAGATCATTTTAAAGAATAAGATTACATTGAATGCAGAAAAGTTCTTGAAGGAATTCTTCTTTAGTTAAAGTAAATTGTACATGGCTCAATAACTTAACTGATGGTTGATTCATGACACTTAATTTTTTTTAAATGATCTTCTTGGTTCAAAATTATTTTTTCATACGTCAAGTTATTTTTTTAGCTTTACCCCACGGTTTGTTTACAATGCAAAGAATTTTTTGTCAATCACTCGATTCTTATTTTAAACTTATTGAAAATCATTCAGAATTATTTTATACTTTGTAGTTTAGTTGACTATTAAAGCGTGTTTTTTAATTTTTCAAACCATAATTTTTAACGAATGTAGGGTAGAAGAACCGTTTTTGGCCACCTTAGCACCATTTTTGGCCAGTTAACATTTGAATTAATTTATAAAAAATTATAATATTATAACCATATTTTTGTTGAATTTAAAAAGTTTATATTAAAACAAATTGAGTTTGTAATGGTTTATTAAAATAAATTCATTTCTATCGTTTATTTGAACAATAAATGGCTATAAACGGTACAGTGGCCACAAACGGTACTTCTACCCTATTTCGGTAATAACTTTTCTCTAGAATATACAGAAAAAAAAATTTACTTGAAGCAAGTAAATAATTTTGAAGAATTTAATCTTCTTGATTTGAGTAGAAAATTTCTTAAACTAAGAAGTTTTTCTTGGTTTAAATAAATTTTACTTAATTCAAGAACTTTTTGTCTTGATTTAAGACAATGAAACTCTTCAAAATTATTTTCTTGGTTCAAGAATTTTTCACTTAATTCAATTTAATTTTTTTTTCAGTGTAGTGTGCCTATTTTATATCATTTTACAAAACTTAGTTACCTTTAATGATTGCATTAAAAAACAAAAATTATAAATTATAAATAAGCTTATTTTTTCACATTCAATAGAACATATAATTCGTGAATGTTCAGTATCTTTAAGCAAAATATATGGCTTAAAACAAAAATATCACATCTGCTTTTTTAATGATTGTTATTAAAAAATATTGTGTAAGCAATATTATGAGTATAGGCGAACTGTTACTTTTAGTTACTGATTAATGATAATAGTAGTACTAGTAGTAACGATAATAATAATAATAATAAAAAAATACGAACCTTGCATATAACCTCGTGCAATAACATCAGCAGCACGAAGTGCATGTTCTGAATTGGCGGCAGCCGCTGAAGCGGATGTCGCTCCGGGACTTAGAGACGTTGGAAGAAGAAGCGATGAAGCAGCTCCAGTTATTCCAGTAGCTAATGGTGGTATCATCCATGGATGTCCTGGAGCTCCAGGTGCTGGCCAAGTCGCCGGAAGGTGATGAGGATTTGTGGGATGATGGTGAGCGGAATTGAAATACGGATGAGGTCCAGCGGCGTACAATCCGTATCCAGTGGCTCGTGCAAATTCAGCTGCTGCTCTTTCTGCCGCCCGGTTTCTCAAGATTCTGTTTATGCTACTTACTGACGGGGCTGTTGCGTTGCTGCATACTCCTGCAACAAGTTTCGTTTTGTTATTGACTACTATCTTTTTTTACCAATTAATTTTCAATTATAAATAATTAATAAATTGTAACTGTCTACATAATTTTATTCTATAAGTATTCATTGCATTAAGTTTCTTTCAATTAAAATACAAAGTTCTATGATAAAATATAGTGAATTGCATAATATAGATCCCTAGTTGTTACTAATAGAAGCCAATTAGCGTTTATCCGAGAGGGTAAGTAGATTAAAATTAATGGCTCAGAATATACTTTATCAACAATTAAATCGAATTTGTTATTCAAGGAAGTATACTTTTCCAATTTTTATTTCTGTTTTTTAATACGCCGTCCTTTGCTCTTTACAAAAATTTTAATATTAATCTCAAGTAATATATTAGTCATTTATTTACCATTTGAAAGAAATATTTAATTTCGAAGTAGGGTAAAAGACCCCATTAGTGGCGGGAAATCATTAATTTCAATAATGAATATATTATTTATAATCTTTAAAACTTTTAGATCAAAAAAAATTTTAATTTTATTCCAAGTAGAAAATTTTTTCATTGAAAGACTAATAGGGGTTAAAGGTGCCACTAATGGGGTCTTTTACCTTATGCACTAAAAAAAACTACTTGATTCAAGAAAAATATGCTTTTCAAAATTTCATAAGAATCTCTTTCTTTTTTTTTAAGTTCACTTTTTTATTTTAAATGAAGAAACTTATTTTTTTACTGAAAATATAAAAATTTTAAAGGAAAGTGAAATTATTGTCAGTTCACGAAAATAATATACTCTTGATCAAAAATGTATTAAATGTGTAGCTTAAAAGTATTTTGCTTGAGTCGTATTTTTTTTTGTTAGTGCACTATTAAAATATTGCAGAAAAAAATTAAGATAACAATTATTAAAAACAATTATCATAATATTTAAAATGATTGCTGCTTATATATCAAATCAGATTAGACTCTAATAGACTGTATTTTTTTTTTATCTGTTTTCTTCTTTTAGGACAGTGTAATTATAGTCAATGCAATTCAAGAAATAAAAAAAAAGTGTCTTTTGTGATCAATGTTTGAAGAAATGTGAGATAAATTATTTTAAAAAATATTTTTTTTTTTTCAACCTACCTTCAGAAATCAATCGCTCTCTTATTTCCCAGGCAAATATTGTCGGATTTTCTCGTTTGTACTGTTCAATTTTAGCAACAACTGCCGGAGTAGCAACTTTGGGCTTACTACCGCCAATTAAGCCAGGGGGTCGAAGAGTTCCTGAGTACAAAAAATAAGCTCTGGATTATTATCCTTACTCATATTGTTTATTAATATTAAAATTTATCAGTTATTTGTTAAATTCAGACCAAAAATTTTATGTTTAAATTTGTAATCTTGATTCTTTTAAAAGAAGATTAAATGTAACTAATAATCATTGACAACAAGCTTATGAATATTACTAAAAAATACATTGTTGTATTCTACGAATTATTTCTTGTTTGCGTTAAAATTATAATATGAATCAGATATGCTAATATATTACCATTTATATTTTCAATTAACATATTAATCGATAATCATCAAAAAATTAGATTGCTTTGAAAAAATCCAACCATAGCTTACATCAATTCAATACTTTTGTAACAGTAAATCTAGTTTCAATTATTATCAGATACACTTCATGTCACTGAGAATCGATAGTCAAGAAATATGGTCGCCTTACAACCTGTGAGCACATTGATCAACTGTTATGAAACAAATAGAGTAATAATAATACTGTCGACAAGAAATAGATGGTTGTAAGTTGTAAAAGGTAAATAGATTTAGAATCCTTGAATCTTTAAACTTGTTTCAATATATTTTAAATATGAATCAATCATCAGTGTACGTTAATAAAAGCAAATATTTGGACGGCGGATGCCTAGTCACTTTACACTTATACAATTATTTAAGTTTCGTCGCTCAAAAAACTGCATACAGAAAAAGTTATTTTGGCCGGATCGAATCTTATCATCAACAGAGAAGAAATCTAAACAAATTAAATTACCTTGAATTAAGCAAAATTTTTGAGACAAGTAACATTTATTTGTAACAAGAAAAATTTTTTTATTTAAGAATTTTTCTACTCAATTCAAGATTATCAAATTATTTCCTTAAATAAAAATAATTTCTCTATCAGTATATTAATAGATTACAACACTGATAGAAGGATTTAGTTCTATTCAATAAGATTTAGTAACAGATACTAAATGATTTAGTAACAAACCTTTCATTACCAAATAGTTAGTAATAGGTAACTAAATCATTTATTAAAGTCCATTTAGTTCCACCAAATAAATATTTAGTAGTATTTAACAAATGATTTATTGCTAATCAATAAATCGTTTATTGGTATCAAAGAAATTAATTTTTTAATTAATTTTGGCGTGTAACCTAACTTTTTAACTTAAAATAAATCAAAATAATTAAAATAAATAATTTTAAGTAAAAATATGAGGTATTATAAAGAAAAGAATTTTATTAAATTATATTTTTGTATTTGAGACATTTATAAAATTAAAAATAAGACAAGTTTTTAACATATGAATAACAAATTAAAAAATGTAAACTAAACTCCATTGAGAAAAGACATTTATTGGGAGTATGTGTGTTTTTAAAGGTTTAATAAATCTCCCAAAATCAAGCTGAATAAAATAATCTGAGTCAGTGAATAAGTTATGTATCACATAAACATTGAAATTAAAGCATAGCCATCTACCGACAATACTTGCCAAAAAAATATTTAGTACCTGTTACTAAATATTATTTGGTGGAACTAAATGTTTATTTCCTTGTAATAAATAAATAAGGCTTTGTTCATTTGAAGAAATGATTTATTAAACTGTAACAAATAATATTGATGGGTACAAAATTTTTGTTTCTCCCAAATAAATGAATAAAAATTTTGTTACTAAATCCTTCTATCAGTGTAATAAAACAGATTAAAAAACAAAAAATTAATGAAGCAAACGAGAGTTAAGTCCAATGAATATGATGTTGATGTTGTTTCAATAAAAATCACCTTGAATGTTGAGATCTAATTAGATATGTCCGGGTTAAAGTACTACGGCATATTAATATTGTCAAGGTTATTTTTGCATACATTTGTGCAGAAACGTTCTCGAGAAGTTAGGTAGGTAGGTAGGTAGGTAGGTAGGCAGATAGATAGGTAGGTATCAGTTGCCAGATGATTGGATGAAACACGCACATCATTGTTGATGTGACGTAGTGTCTGACAAGGACATTTTCGACGTTTCAATAAATTAACTTGGATATAGAGGGACACAAGTAAAATTGAACGGAAGGCATGCATGTATGTAGAGACACGAACAGAAGCAGAATACCCGAAGCTAAGTAATAAGTAAGAATTGGTACTTGCACTCTTATTCGCATCATATCATGGAACCATCATATCATGCATGGGCATGGATATATGTTCGGGGCTATACTGAGCTTATTCTCTTATTTTATATATTGTATGGATACGCTACTCTGAAAAGCTAATGGAAGCCGCGACGCAGACAGGCTTGAGCAATTATCGGTCATTACGTGTTATTATTAATAACAATAATAATAATGGTGAAAAAGAAATAAAGCGTTGGTATATATCGCGTGCGCTCCCACGGGAGAAGTGCGTGCTGAGGTATAAACGATGTTACCTACCTAATAGGTATCTACGCCTCGAGCAAATTCCTTTGCCACAGCACTCATTTTTGTCTCTTGTTTTTTTATATTATAAACCAAGTTTACTTAACTTATATATATATATACGTATATATATTTATATATTTATATTCCTATGTGTATTTATACTTTTGTTTTTTGAATGCCAGATAGATTAATGATACTGATAAAAGCACATTGTGAGTTTAATAAATTGCTTATTGACACTTATGTTCGAGCAACTGCATAAATCACCTTTCGTAATTATTTAAGAGATATTTTTAATGACAGCAAATCTGTCATTTCATTATATTTGTCTTATTATTTTAAGACTAATTTGATTATTGCTTTTTTTAAAGCAATTAACTTTTAAGTTATTCTTATTTGTACCTGGCTGTAATTTATTCTAATTCTGTTGGAAAATACACTACACATCACACATCGCTCAATGAAATCTTGCTAAGGATTATACGTGTGGTTATACAAAGAGAATTCTATGCCTTAAACTGTAATAGTACCCTGGAGTTTGGAGTAGACCTGAACTATCTAATTAGAGGGCAAGTGTTTCATTCATCTTGTAGGTAGCACAATATGTATCCAGACAAAAAAAACTTGAAGGAAAAAATAGTTAATACAACATAACATAGATATGAAATAAGGGAGCGGAACGAAATAAAACTAAACTGTATACATTTTTTTATAATAAAACAAAATTGTTGTATTAGTATAAATTTATATTCATTTTAAAGTTCTCTACGCATGTATTTTCTTGAAAAAATTTTATCACGCTGAATAAATCTTTTATTGATTTTATAAATTAAACAAGTTTTATTAAAAAAAAAAATTATGCAATTAACAATTTTTTAAAAATATGTTTAGATTTTGTAACCAATTGACAAATGTAATTATGATGAGTCAAAGTTATCAGGGATTCCCCACCTGATTTGCATTACAAAGTTCTATGATAATTTTTTGAATCATCATTTCTCGGTGTGCCGTCATCATTACCTCTTAAAAATCCACATTTTATTAAATAGAACACTCATAGAAGGATTAATTTAATTCAAGAGAAAACGTTTTGTATTAAAAAATTTATTTTGAATGAAAATGAAATTAGCCGACATCTAAAAAATTGTTATAAATTTTTTATTGAAAAAATTTGAATTAAGCAATTAAATAAAAAATTGTCACATGTAAAAAACTTTAAAAACTATAAGTGCAATTTTTTAAAAATATTTTTTTAGTTGTAATTTAATTAATAAAAAAAATCAAAAATTTTTACATGTCTTTTAACTTCAGTGTCATTATTTTGAAGAATTTTATTGTCTTGAATCAAGTAAAGTTTAGTGAAACCAGAAAAAATCTTTTGAATTAAGATGTTCTTTGCTTAAATCGCGTTTTTTTTTTAAGCGTGTAAAGTAGATGAATATCTCAATTAAGAAAATTCTAGTGAACTTGTCATTAATGCAACAATTTACAAAGTCATGAAAATATTACAGCTTGAACAATTTCATGAAGTTTCAGAAAAAAAAGCTAAACTTATTCCTAACAATTTTCATTAAATTTTAAGTTTGAAAAGACAAAAAGCTCGGTTATACATGGTACTAAATAGACAATATAATAAATCAATATTTGATAAAAATAACTCCGAAAACAACTCTGGAAACTTTTACAGAATAATAATTACTTTTAAAAGTTTTATATAATTTTTTAACTTTAAATGTAATTGTACTTTACATGTTGTTTCCCTATATTATACTATATTGTCCCCGCTAGACTCTCTTTAAAGATATTCAAATTCTTCAAAATGTTTTTGGTCCTAAATTTTGTTTTTCTAGAATCAAGTTAATTTTTCACTAGGGTAATGATCGCAACTGCATTCTTCAAATACCAATATTGAGCTTTTAGTCACATCATCGAAGTTTCAATAATTTAGCATAAAAATAGCAATTTCATAACTTTCTACAAACAACATAATCTTATAACCCGTTTGTATAAAGTATCTGAATAAAAGATATGAATTAAGAATTTTCACTCGGAAAAGATCCATGTTACCTTCATGAAAGTACATTAATTACCAAACGATTATACCAAGTGTATATATAACTGAGTATTAGTAGGCCTTTGTAAATTTACAGTGAACATTTTTTTAACACTATAATCACCTTAATACGTATCATACATTCAATTTGTACTGGCCTCGAAGCCAAATGCCTCATTATTAATGTCTCATTTATATTTACTAACTTCGTTTTTAAAATTCTGAATAAAGGTATTTAAAATCTGATTTAATTGAATATATAATTACTATCATTGATATTTTTTATTGACTAGAGACTTATATAAAAAATTTTATTTTTATCAAATACTATTATGAATGCTGTATACACACTTGAAATCGATAATACTTGCTAATACAGCTTGTTAAAAATTTCTAATTACGCAGTAACTTATGAAAGTAATTGTCTACTATAATTATACAAGGGTGATTTTGATAACAAAGTAAGATAACAAAATCACTTTCTAACGCAAGTAAATAAATTGCATGCAATTATCTTTGGTAGAGGAAAAATCGGTAAGTGATTTGCTGAATAAGTAACCGTATATGCGCTAACTTCGGTATAGGTGAAGTGACTGAAGTATAATTAAACTTAGCAAACAATTAAGGAGTTGATGAATTATACATTTGACGTCGCGAACTGGCAAAAAAATTGCCGGAACTACCCTAGCAGATTCAAATCGCGCTCACGGTGAAATACCATAATGGAGTGACTTACAGTAAAATCACCGTGATTTCACGGTAATTTTACCTATATCGAGGTATTTTATATTAAGTTACTGCAGTTACGGTATTTTACCGCAAATTGGATCTGCCAGGGTGGATAAATTTTTAATATTTCATCATAAACAAATTTAAAAAATTAAAAAAACGCATTTCTTGTAACGTCAATTTCTAAAAATATATGACGGTAATAATTCATTAAATGTGAGTTATTCTCGAATTATTAACAAAAAATCATGAACAATGACTAAAATGAAACGGAAATACAGAAAAATTCCAAGTAATTCTTTAAAACCCAAAAGATGTATGCTTCACATAATTATTAGAACTCTTTTGTATACTACGTGACAAAAAGTATACACATAAATATGTATAAATTACTCAGAAATATTAGAAATCTTAAAATTTTGTAGATTAACTATTTTAGTCACTGAGGACACTATTTATAATGAAATATTAGAATATACAAATTTACAACAGAAAGTAAAGTTAAATATTTCTATTGGTCGGTTTTTGTGTATATTTTAATTATTTTGATTCGAGAAAAAAAAATCTTGGATCAAGACTATAATTTTTAGGAGTTTGATCATCATCTTAAATTAAGAGAGGAAAATTCTTGAATCGAGGAAAATTTACTTGAATTAAAAAATATTTTCCTAATTCAAGAATTTTTCTTCTTAATTAATCGAACTCTTCAAAATTATGTTCTCGATTCGAGATTTTTTATCTTGAATCGAATTAATTTATCATCAGTCTATACATTTTACTTCAAATGTATCTATAAGAGAGTCAAAAGATATTGACAAGAAAATATCATTTAAAGTTACAGCGCGGAATTTAATGGCTTATTTTTGGTCGAAGTTCTTGTCATTTATTAATTATTTTTGAGCAATTTTCAATACCCCATAATTATTATCAACTATTCCCAGCATGTATGCGTAATTCTAACAGTTTCGTTGTAAAATTATACTACGGACATATTATTACCCAAATTGACATGTAACTCTCTTCGGACTCAATTCGTCTTGAACCACAAAAATAATATTTTTTCAACTTTCAAAGCATCCAATTAGGTCACCTAAGTACTAGATTTCTGCAGCAATACATTTTATTCAAAATACGCTGTACAAGAGTGACGTGTGAATTTACAGAGGTATTGTTAGTTAAAATTTTCCCCGAAAATGAACAAAAATATTTGCAACGAGTAATGACCAACTTACATACTTAAAAGAATGTAAATAGTATGTATTTTTTGTGATTTAGTCAAAGTATACAATATAATTATATTTCCGGCAACTTTAAAAAAGTTAAAAAGTTTTATTTTATCGTTGATAATTCATTAAAACGTTATATAAATTAATTCGTGCCAATAAAAGTAAGGTAATTTTAATATTATGCTTAAAGTGGAACCAAATCCATCTGTATTACTTTATAAAGTAATTTTTTAAATTTCTAAGACAGCAATAGCACCAGAATTTCGATATCAAATCAATAAATTTTCCAGAAGAAAAAATAATTTTCTTTAGTATTAATCAATATTGTTATATTATATCGAAATTATTTTAATTAACTATTTAAAACTGTTCATACAAAATATCTATTTTTTAAAAAAATTGTTTTATAAAAAAGAAAATCTTTAAGTAAGATTTTCGAAAAAGTAAGAATTTTTGATTTAAAGTTCAAAATCATCTTCAATGTAAAAATTACTATAATACATATTTTTCATTTCTATTTCTTCCCAATGACTTTTACATTTATATTCAAATGACAAGCATTAATTTTCTTTCGTATTGAAAGAGATAACTTACCAAGAAGTTTTGTAACAACAGCTCCCTGTTGATTCAACGACAACACATGGTTTGCCAGATCGTTGTAATGTCTAAGAGCACCCAGTCCGTGCGACAATTCAAGAAGTCGTTGACGTGTTGCTCCACTGATTGTACTGCTGTTACCAGGGAATGCCCCAGTGGCGCAATTGGGAAGGCTCACACCTTTAAATAATTGTTCAATAAACCATTAAAGCACTGTTTCTTTTACAAACGTAACAATAAAACAATTGATACAAATGTTGAAAATAATTAAAGATCATTGATGCATTGATGCATTGGAATTGACGCGGTTTTAAAAAATCAGTAGCATTATATTGGTAAATATTAGCGAGTTACATGAATGGATGCTTATTAAAACTACTTGAGGCGTATTTTAGTCGAGTCTTCGAAACAAAATCAACGGATGTCTTGAAATGATTGTCACTCTTCCTGTCCTGTTGTCATTGTATGTGGTAGACGCATAAGTAACACATTATTTGTTCAAGAATTCATGTATGCTAACGAATTTAAGAGAATGTATTCTTACAGTTTCTCGGTATGCGTTGAGTAAAATTACGAGTGGCATTGAGCGATTTTGTCGCCACGCCTTGTATACCCATTCAATAGAGTATCGCCTTAGCCATACATTTTTTAAATTAAAATAGTCACGTCGCGACTCCGTTTTCTATCTCGCCGGTTCTCGTTTTTTGTTATTGTTATTTAATAATAACAAGAACCAAAATAGAATAATAATTCATCGATCATTATGGTATTGTTTATTATATATTCTTCTTCTTCTTCGTCTTCTTTGTCTTTTGCTTCTTATTCTCCTTCTTCTCCTTCTTCTTCTTCTTCTTCTTTTTCTTCAATTATTACGTATGCCACATCTGTATGTACTACTACTTTTTACTTTTTTTTTTTTAAATAATTGGCTAATTGTTCTCAATTTAAATAAATAAACTACCTAAAAAATTAATCGAACAGCTATAGCAAATAAGATTTATTTTTGTGTTCATAAAACTTGCAACACTTTTTGTTTCGCGGTGAATATTAAGATTCATACGTAATCAATTATCTAATCTGATCCACATTTTTTAGAATTATTTATTAATGTTCCAATGTTTTGATAGTTGTCCAAACTGTCTGTATTGTAGTTTTTTTACTCGTTAAAAACTCTGGTAGTGTACATACAAAATAATATCTACAGCTACATTTCAAATATTGATATTAACGATATAGAAAACTAAGGACTCGAATAAAAATATTGGTAGCTCAATGAAAATTGAAGAAAATTAATTATCAATGTTATTATTAAATATTTTTCAGAATTTTTTGAAGCTAAATAATTTCGTTTTCTTAGTAGAGAATTTTTTTGACAAGAGTCGATAAAATTTTTAACGACGAAATTATCATGTAAATATTTATTTATTTATTTATTAGATTTATATGCCAAGGCTTATAGCCGGATGACAAATTATACAATGTCTAGTATAATTGATGCAATTATAACAAAAGTGTAAATAAGTAGAAAAACAGAACAGTATAACAAGATGTGTTACAATAAATTATATGAATGACAAATCAGTAACTAAAACAAGCCAAACTGTAAATATTTAATGATTTACAAACTATTTGATACTTCAAGATTAAGAAAAAAATTTTAACACTTTATTCTTAGCTGCAAGTCGATCAGATCGTCTAATGTCAGGATCTTCATTTACGAACATTATATATTATTAAAAAATAATCCTTAAATTATACTGATTAAAATAATACTTCCAACTCATTCAATCAATCTTTAACAATAAGAGGAATTTCCTACTCATGCGATTTGTGTTATAGTCTTATTCTAGGACGCATATTCCATTTTTTTCTTACGATTGTTTATTATTCTAAAATTATACTAAAAAATAAGTATAAAACTGCCTCGAGCAGAGCGGAAATCTATCCCCATTTCTCAAAAGCTCGTTTTTTAGTTTATGAATTATAAACTCGAAAATATAAAAAGTACCGCCGGTTCTTTAATCTTGTTTTAGTTACAACAATACGATAATTGTACTAGTTTTCGACTTATCAGAAGATGTTTTCTTTAATAATTTTTTCAGCCACTAATCAATTTTTTTAATATTGTCAGCTTTGGGATAATTTCCTCTATAAATAAGTAATTGTTGCAAATAATTGCGAAACTGCGTTTAAGAGAATTTTGTTTTATTCTTGTTAGAGAAATTCAGACCTTTAAATTCCCTGAAAACATCCAATAGGTTGTTTTGCACTGAAGAAAGTTTTACTTCATTGAAATTATTCAAGTGTTTAAAATTGAACTTGACGGGTCAAAAACCGGTAGCTTTACCCTACTTCAGTTACTTTATAATGCACATTGAATGATCTTAAAAATGTTGTCTTCAGTGTCCATAATGGAATGACATAATTTCAATTTTTTCTTGACTATAGTTGGATAGTTAGGTATTGTAGTTTATAATGTTTTGCTAATTCAATATTATAACGGTGAAATCTGAATGAATAAAAACGCAGTATCATGATGAAATTAATCTGTTACTAAAAGAAAGTCATAGAAAGAATTGATTACTTACGGAAGACCAAAAATAGCCTTGACTGGTTCAAATTCTTTATATCTCTTTTCATTCTTTACGTCGGAAAAACGTCTTTACGTTTAATTATTATGGTAATGTTTAAATAAATATAATTTTAAAATTGTTTGTCGCTGATAATTTAATCATAAAAAAATTATTTTTACAAAAGAAAAGTAATCAACAGTGGTAGAATTGTAACTACATATAATTTCTAATATTTTTAAATAAAAAAATCTATCGAATTTTATAATTAGAATCTCATTTAAGTGTTGTAGAAATTTATAAGTTAATAATCAACAATAATTTCAATATATTTTTGAACCAAGTAAAATAATAACCTGATAGAAAAAATGTATTCTTAAAAAAAGTCAGCGTTATCTGAAATCAATTTCATCGGCTTCAAACCAAAAGAAAAAAATGCTTGGGTCAAATTTATATGTACCTCGTTTGAAAATAATAAAAAACTCAATCGAAAAATCAAATTCTTCAATGGAAATTTTTTGGATCTCTATCCAACATTTTAAATGTTCCTTAATTATGATGTGATGAAAAATATTTACTAAACTAAGTTATTTATTTTTCTGTAAATGATTAATTTAGTCAAATTGGTTACTGTTTAACGATCATCGAGAAACTATGTAAAATAATTTAAAGATCTACTATAAAAACCAGTTAAAGGTGTTAGAAGATACCCATCAGCTAATATTCGCTCAGGTCAGTTTTATTTTGAGCTAAAAATATTTTATCGAAGATGCTTCCGTGAAAGCGTTTGGTCTTGGTACCTCGTGAGACGTATGTATAAGAATCGGGAATCGAGGTCCCAAGAACATTCACTTTCACAGAAACAACTATATATACACGATAAAAATGTTAATTTTCTGCTTATGGGTACAGGTATATGATGTATCTTATTAAATTTTGAATAGATTCAAATTACACGATTAACTAAAATGTTTATTGAAGACCAAAAAAAAGTAAACATTCTCTCGCTAAAACCATCAGGAATCGAGTTACTTTTTTCGAAATTTAAATTGTGATGTTCAACATGAATCAGTTACAAAGTATTATTGAGGACAGAACGGCTGCATCCTGCCCATCCAAAACTGTTGTTTTTATTACTCCATTATTAGCGCGATTTTTATGCTCCTGAAGATAAATAAATCTTTGAGAAAATTTAACATCGCTTCAAACACAAGCACAGCAAATGAAAGAACATAAAATCTTATACATTTGATAGTGTTCAGTACACAGGATTGAATTATAATAAAAACAATTTTACGGCTGCATAAATTATCAAACAGTAGAATTTCAAATTATGTTTGAACAAATTTTTTTTTATAAAAAAAAATCATGTCGTTGTCTCTCAGCAGTGGGATACTATTTGCATTTCATCAGATCAGTTAATGTATAAATTTACCATCTAAATGTGCAGGCACTACTATAGTTCCATGTATTGTTAAGTTTTGTAATCATTTTCGATTTTTGGACTATGACATTATTGCTGTTTCTGAATCAAGTGTTGTTGATGCTCAAGTCAACTTTCCTGAGTTCTACTTGTATTTTTACAAAATATTGTTATTATGAGTGACTTGAATATAAATATGTTAACTAATATACTAACTTGTCCACATTTGAATACTTTTGTAACCTATATAATCTATGCAATGTTCTAATTAGTACTACACATCATACTGCAATAAACAATTGTAATCACTATAATATTCAAATTACGAAATGTTCAAATTCATATTCTTTCTTTTCTTTTGTTTTATGAACTTTGTTTAGAGAAAACGTTATTTTTCCTATTTTTTTTATTTTTCTTATTTATCAGTATTACTGTCTTATTATTTTATATCCATTACTGTTTAACTAATTTTATTATTACTATGTATATATTTCTATGTAAGGCCCTTACAGGGAGCTAAGGCTTCAGGGTCTAAAAAATTTAGTAAATAAATAAATAAATAAATGCATAGAAGTATTATAAATTTATATGCTTCGATAATTTTTTAGTATAATAGGATATCAAAATAATTAATACATTGTAACAATCAATATCTATAATATTGAGCATTATTAAATGTTAATTTGCAAAAAATTTTTATTAGAATCATAAAACATTATTAATCGCAAGTGTCAATAATTATTCATTTGATTGAATTTAATAAATAATGCGTTTATGTACGTATAAATAAACCATTAACATTTTTTATGCGGTAATTAAAATTACGTTGTTACTGTCACGTTAAATTTGTAATATATTATAAGTATATATTGGTGTTTTATGTCTTTATCCCTTAAAAACATGTATATACATACATATTTATTTATATACCTGCCTTCTCCGGCAATGTATTCATGCGAATATTTTCTTGATTAAGATAATCTTATCGGCGATCATGAAACTCCTTTTACAAATTAATTTATCTTTTAATATATTCAATGCACTTTATTTGATTATCTTCTTCTTTCCCAAAATAGGAAATCAATATCATTATCATATATATTTTACAGATTAAGCCATAATTACACAATTAATATAACCTTTTTTATTCATAAATGATTATCTTCGATCATTTTTCATTTAATGTGCTTCATTTTCTTGAATTATAAAAAACTAAGACAATTTTATTAATTGATGAATTCACTAGAATACTTTTTATTATAACTATTTTGAATAAATATCATTCTCGATGAAGTTCAATTTTTAAACTTTACATGAAGCAAATATTTATTTTATCCAAAAATATTTCTAAGCTAAATCTTGTTTGCTTTTTAAATCTTAGACCGATCAAAATAACTTGATTCAAAAGAAAAAATCTTGAAACAAAAAAATCGTGAAAAATTTGATTTTATCTTCAAAATTTTTGTCGTTAAATCAAGATTACTTTTCTATTTGTTCACGCATGCGTTATATTTTAAAACACTTCAATTTGAATGGATTCAAAGATGCATGTGCTTTTAAATTGAATGAATTTAGTTTTCGCTCAAGAACATACAAGCTCACATCTGAAAATTTTCCCATCAACTCTTATCAATCGTTCTTCATAATTTGTTTATAAATCCTAGATAAATTCCCGATTTTGAAAAAAAATTGTTTCTTCATATTTATAGTTATAATAAACGACAAATCTGCTTCATTACAAATATAAATTTCTTTCATCAAGGCTAAAATTTTCTTAGTAAATGATAATATAAGCTTCAACGTCTGATCTAACATTTTTAAAAAAATTTTTTGACAGTGAATATATATTCCTGAGTTGAAAAAATTAACTTAAATGAACTTAACTGCTATACTAAAACAATTAATTTAAGCTCATTTAAGTTTATTTTTTCGACTCGGGTTATATGACACACAAAAAATAAATTTTTTGCGCCAAGAAAATTTTAAAGAAAACGAAAGTTATTTTGGAGCAACAAAAAATTTTCTTGGCTCAAGAAACTTTGACTTCATTCAAGAAATTTTCAACCTTATTCCTTAATATTTTTTTTAACCCAAAAAAATTTACACTCTAGTCAAGAATTTTTTTTTCAGTCGACGAAATATATATATTAAAAACAACATTTTATCTCTTTTAATTTTGTTCTACAAAATACATAAAATAAAAATCAAATTTTTCTAAAAAACAACCTTGTAAAATATTAAAAAAAAATCAAATTCCAGTCAATTACTTAGCAACATTATATAAAGACCAAAAAATATTACATATTACGCATTCTCTGCTTCTCAATCTTCCAGGTGTCCTCTTATAAATATATTAAAATATCCATCCAATTACTTTGTTTACATGACTCTCAAAAATAAATCACACTCAAGTTAAAGCATAACAATTCTAATTACAAAATTAAGTCGTCTAAAAAATATTTTAACAAACAAAAAAAATGAAATTTATATATAATCAACAATACTAAACATCTAATATAAAAAAAAAAAGAAAAATATTATTTACTCTCAACAATCGGCGCAGTTGAGACTGTTGAAACCCCTGAATGATGATGACTGGCATGATGATGATGACTCTGATGAATTTGAAACAATCGTGACCGGGATTGATCTAAAGTCGGTGACGGCGGCTCCCAGGGCCTTGTAACAGTCGTACCGACATCAGCCGGTGTTGTTTCATTAATCTGGCAGCAATATTTACTATTGCCATTGCTAATATTATTTTCCGTCACAGCATCTTCATTATTATTGTTATTATTACTCCGAATACTATTGTTATTATTATTATTATTATTATTAAAACTTCCGCTATCATCGTTTGTTCGCGTTACCGCGGTAGTTACTGGACTTCCACTGCCACTTCCACTACCACTGTGAGCACCACCAGCACTACTTATATTATCAACAATAATTATTTCATTAACAGAAGCTGTTACCGGTTTGGTAGTACCCGGCGGTGTTGAAACATTACCGCCTATCATCATCACCGATTTAAGCCACTCTTTTTAAAATAAATTCGCTCCAAATTTCAATCAAAAATTATCATGAAATAATTTTTTATCAACCACAATTATAAACCTACTGAATAAGTTTTTTGCAATAAAAAAAATCGCAGTAATAAATTTCTATTAAAGAGCACATTTGGCGCGCTTCCATAGTCACTGTCACACCCGCACAAAAAATAAATATTTATTTTTTACTTATACTAAAAATGTTGAAATTCCACCGAAAAAATCTAAAAATTTAACAAAAATGATTTAAATAAATGAATGGGTTATATTGCACCTTGATAATTAAACAACAGTAGAATTGGTGAGTCTTAGTCTGTCTTCTTTAGATTATTCCCCTCTTAGGAAAGTATAGCTGTTTGTTATATTAAGACACACGTTAAGGCAGTCGGGTCGATATCTTAGACTGTATACTGTGGCTGCTCGCACTCTGCCGGATTCAAGCAGATTGGCTTCCGTTCAGCGGCTCGAAGCTTGCCCAGACTACCTTCTACCTTCTACCTTATCCCCACCTACGGTTGAGGTGAGATCAAGATTTAAGGCACCTCAGAGTCGCACATGACATTACCCTACAGACTTTAGCTTCAGCTTGTTCCGTCAGTTAAGAGGTAAGAGGAGTAGCTTTGATACCGTACAGGTATACCGTATAGGTGGATAGGTGGATGGAAAGAACCGGTCAAGAGGGAAGAGGGAATCAAGGAGATGAAGGGAATAAGGGTACCCCGTTTGCTGGATTGTTAATGTGCCAACGAGGTGGATAGAGGGAAATTACAGATTTACGTATGTGTGTGTGTGTGTATGAGTGTGTATGGATTGGCGTAGTAACTGAAGAATATAATGAAGATCAAGTTGCGCACTTTCATCGCGCATCTATCCCGCCCACCAACCATTATCAACTGATCGGCCAATTGAACGGCCTCGTGGACGCCTACTGAAAATACGTGATCATCTAGACGGCTAATCGAAATTCACCCTGACTTGGGTAAGTATGATCGACCACAAGAACCACTCACGCGTGCATCATTTCTTATTTTTCATGCTACTCATTTTTTATAACCTTTTTTTCGTTAGTCATTTTTTCTTACCGCCACGCTCGTTTAATGAACGAGCTGACGTATATATGTACGTAAATCTTTTATTCCTCTATTATCCTTTCAATCTTCTTGTACATAATATTACGTATTTATTTGCTTTATTTTATTTTATATAATGAATCTTATTTATTAACATTGAGTAGGTGCATATGATCATTTAAATTTTATGCAAGGTAATTAAAAACGTCTGGAGGGGTTTTGTTTCTTTATTATATAGGTATGCACACGCTGGTGGAAAAATTAAGTAATTTTAAGAAAAAATGAAAAAATCGAGTAGAAAAAATATTGAGTTGAGTTAAATTTACTTAGTGGAGGAAAATTTTATTAGTAGAAATAAAATTAATTGAAAAAAAAAAAAATTCTAGAGAAAAACTTTTTTGTTTCATTAATTATCTTAAATCAAGCAGACAAGTTCTTAAACCAAAAAATTTTTTTCGTTTTAATTGAGATAATACTGTCAATATTACAATTCTTAACTGCCAAAATTAAGACTTGCAATATCTAATTGAAGCATAAAAACAAAATTTTCTGATATGACTATGGCAGACTATGTATATGAGAATAAAAAAAAAATGATTTTCTTGAGTCCGAAGAATAAATTCTTGAAACAAGAAAATTTTCTTAGACCAAGAATAATTTCTTAGCTCAAGAATTTATTCTCTTAATTCAAGAAAATCATTTTCTTCAAAATGGTATTCTTGGTTCAAGAGTTTGGCTCTTGAGTCAAGTCAATATTTTTATTAGTGTACAGTCTTTTTTTTTTTTTTTTTTTAATTTGTTTAAAGTCGCATAAACTACTAAGGTCATGAGCGACTACGGTAGGGGGTACACTTTTGAGATTGTAACTCGTTTTGTATTTCTTGGGCTGAGCAGAATAATACACTTAAATATTGAAAATATTCATTGGTGTACGCCGGATTCGAACCCGGTCCAATGCTTTGGTAGCAAGGGCCGGATCCGATAGGCTACTGCGCGCCTCTGTGTATAGTCTTGTTAGTTCATGGAATCAAGATATTTTGCATACTATTGTCAAGATAATTTAATGGAGATTAATTTGACTCTTTTAAAAATTGATTTAGTGCAATAGAAACGGAAAAAAACATCAAAAAAGGTCAAAAAATTTTCCTGTCCGTCATGTATGAAACTCATGTATGTTTTCAACAACCACTAAATTTTTCAGCTCAAAGAGCTCGAAAAAGTATATACGAAAGTTATATTTTTGAGATCAAAATTTTGGAATAGATAATTTTTTGAACGTTTTAAACTCGTACATAGTGCACTATAGGGTTCTACGGATGGCCTGCAGTGAAGTTTTTAATTACTGCCGAAAATATTTAGAAAAACAAAAATTTTCATCGCTAAAATCAAATTTTATTGTCAAGAAAATTTTCGTGTCTCAATAGAATTCCTTTTTGCTCCAAAACGATATGAGATCTTCCAAAAAACTTACTTGTTTCAAGTAAGCCTTTTTCTCTATATTATACACTGACAGAAGGATTTCTTAACATTTAAGAAGATTTCTTTGTATTTAAGAAATTATTTCTTAAACATCATTTCTTAGTATTTAAAAAATATTTCTTTGTATTTAAGAAATATATTTCTTAAATACAAAGAAATATTTTTTAAATACTAAGAAATGATGTTTAAGAAATGATTTCTTATATAAATACAAAGAAATCTTCTTAAATGTTAAGAAATCCTTCTATCAGTGTATGTTGTTAATTGGTATGATTGTTAAACTTAACAAGATCGTAAGAATAGTATAGTATACGTAGAGACTGAAGGAATAGATTGAAGGATTAGATGCTGACTTTTGATATTGTTTAGAAATCCTAAATGGTAGTTTCGGTTATATTATACTGCTCAAAGTTTCAAAGGAATTGATAACCTGCTTTGGTTTACGTTAAATATGTATAGACGGCTAATGCAAGGGTCTACACCTGATGTTATACTGGTCAATAGTGACCTATCTTAATCTAGATTTGGAGATAGATTAAGTTCAAAGGTAGTATGCATGTACATAATAATTATGAGAACGTAAGGGCTGACTTTGTTTGACTGGGAGATGGTAAAAACATATATAATTTTCATTTCTTTTAAAAGCTTTTCTGACTTCTGCTTCCGATAAATACATATTAACAGGTAAAATTAGGCTTTTAGGGCCAGTCGTCATTTTAAGAGGTTTTCAAAGAATATGTTTTATGGTAATTTTTTTTTACAAAACTGATATACCATTACACTATATTATTTATGGTTCTCTATTTTTTTATTATATAAACAATTAAAAATCAAATAAGTTATAGTTGAAAAAAATTACATTTTTTTCGACAAGGCGCAACGTCCATCGTCGCAATGTTGAATTAGTTAAACTACACAATGTTAACTTTACCAATTTGTAATAATCAAAATTCATAAATAATAATTATTTACTCGATATTTTCAAGTCATTGAAGAATATTTTCCGATACATAAAGTCATACTATTAAATTAAATTACTGATGCTCGGTCTTGACCTTATTGTAAGATAATTAAAATACAAACTTCGAATTGTTATTAAAAAAGCAGTATCCATTGATTCTCTCTGCAGATACATAATTAAACGAATGCCTTCTTATTTAAGAACACGCAATGCATTTGTTGTTTGTCATTAAATATGTCTAACTCTATTAAAATCACTTTGTCATGTTTATATAGTTATGTGCTTGATAAAAGGTAACCTCTGAGTATAATTGCAATTGACATTGACCTTTCAGGCGATGTAATTAATGCTGCGTTCATAAGTCGCAATTATTTAAAGTTTTATTTTACATTCTATTGAAAAAAGTTAGCTCTTATGTTATAAGAAGAATATAAAAGGAATTTAGAAGGAAACTCAGAGTTCCAAGCAAAAAATTTATTTTTTTATTTTAATCAACCATTCACACATTTATTTAAACCATATTTTTCTTACGACTCACAATGCTCTATATTATATGTTAAAAGTTTCCACAGGTGTCAACTTTAATAAAATTAAAATATAAGAAATATCTTCTATAACAAAAGTTGTTTAGTTAATTTTGCTCTCGCAAAGCATAGTCTTCCCATGAAAAAATTATCTCATATTACCCAATCTGATCATCTATGGCCAAATCAGATTAATATATGAGAATAAAAAATAAGTCATAATTTTTTATTGTTTTTATAATTATCTACATCAATCTAAATGTCGCATTAATCAAAAATTGGTTTATTAGTAAATAAAAATTAAACTAAAAACTAATATTAGATAAGCTTTTTCTAAGGAGAGTAAAAAAGGTTTTTTATTTTCAGAGTACTTTGGTTATATTATATTATATATTGTTTGGAGATATAATAGTAGCTTTTATTATTTTATTTCATTATTCCATCCCCGTTATTCTTCAATCCCTTTTTATAGATAAGTTGAGTAATTGTATTTTGATTTAATATATTTCATATTCCTTATAAAAAATAATATCTATAATTCTATCATTTTGTGCAAAAAAAATTTGATAAAGAATCTAATTAGAATTATTAAATATAGTAAAAAAAAAAAAAAAAAAAAAGTGATTTGTATTTTACAAAACACGTCAAGCTTAACACTAGGGGTGTGCGAATATCTTTCGAATCGAATCGAATCGAATATTGATATTCGATTCGAAATTCGAACCGAATAATTCGAATTTTCGAATTAATCAACATTCGACGAATAATTCGAAAGAATTCGAATAATTCGAAACTTTTCGAATTATTCGTATAATTTTTCGAATAATTCGAATTTTTTCTAATTGTTCGTCGAATTTCGAATAATTCGAAAATTCAAATTATTCGATTCGGAACGAATAATTTGTAAGTTCGAATTATTCGCACACCCCTAATTTTAAA